TTCCAACCCAAACCGTTCTATGATTCTAGGAAAATTAGTTTTGTCATGGAAATGGCACTAAAAGCTGTTTAGCAAGAGGAGCCCACACTAGGCAATCTCACAAAATTATTTCAGTCAAGAAACAAAGCTTTGCACTGTTACTTCTTGTTTAGAGCAAGTATGATTTTACTAGGCATACTCAATTTACAATAGAATTACCAATTTTACCCTGTTTGCTGTGCTGACAGCTATCATCTGAACCATGTGTTTTACAGGAACCTTCCGATGCAGTGAATTCCCTTAGTCTGCGCATTGACATTGGCCTTGCAAATCCTGGCTCTGGCCCTGTCCTTGATATATATTCTCCTGCATCTGTTGCTTATAGTGTAAGTATGCAGATTTATGATCGAAAAATGCATGGCTATATACATGTTCATAATGTGTGTCCCACGCAAACACCAAAGACATACATGCAAGTGAAAACTGGTGTTCTAGTTTTCTAGAACTGGGCTGAAAGCAGGCACCCAGGGGGGGTGAGGGTGTCCCTTGGTTCCTCATATGTCTTTGCCTGTATTGCGTGGGCTTGCTCACACACACATGTATCAGCCTCTATGGCATAACAAGCTTGTTGGTTCAGCCGTGCCACCGTTGATGTGAACTTCTAGTTGATGGCAAAGATGAACTATTTTAGATTAGTTTGGCCCTCTATAAAAGAGTACATAAGAGAGATGGAACCCCTTCGATTACATCACATTTGTTGGGGGTTAATGATAATCGGCCTGCACTGTTCTTAACGGATCAGCTGACATGTAGTAACATGTTACTCAGTGGTAACTTTTCATGTGTCAGAGTTTTTAATGCCCTTCAGAGGGATTTTCTTACCTGCAAACCAAGAATGTGCGAACTCAAAGGTTTGCACTCTGTTATCTATAGATAATTTTAAAGTTGAGCACTGTCATTCAGGAAATGTTTTTGGTTTTTGTAGATTCCTTTTATTAAAGACTGTGGTGAAGATGAACTTTGTGTCTGTGATCTTGTTCTGAACGTTCAGCAGAAGGCAGATGATGGGTAAGAGCTGAATAAGTGGAATTGTTGGGGTCAAGTGTTAAGTTTTCACCAGTTGGTTTGTCTGTAGGCTTTGGATGAATTTCTAGATGAGAATGCCTTTCTAGTTCAACATCTACTTAGAAACAGTAGGGATAAAAAAAAGCAATAGCATTTCTGTCTAAATAATTCATCAAGGAAAAAGAGGTATGATAGGAACACAGATACAGAAGTCGGACTCTTGTCAGCTTAGACAAACCCAAGTTTTGGTACCTTAGAGATTGAGGACACTGAGCATTCAGAAGAATTGTGGCTGGCTGGCTGCTGGCAGGAAAGGTAGCATGCTGGGAGAGCAGCAGCGGCTGCAGCAGCTGTTTCCACCCCTCCCGCAGGGAGCAGTGAGGATCCTGCAGCAGGCTGTGCCACTGGGGAGCTGAGGTCAGTCATTCGGGCAGCACAAATTCCAAGTCCATATGCAGATATACATGCAGAGGATCATGGCTGCCTCTTCCTGGCACTGCCATCCAAGTCCACTGCCCACTCTCTACCAATCTTCCCAGGATAGAGCCCTTGAAAATACAGCAAAGTGACTTTGGCCATACATAATCAAGGTTGTACACTTTTAAGATGACACTAATTCCATTCACAGAGTTTCTTATATCACGGGGTTTAAAAGTAGAGTGTTTAAGTGCGTAGAATGTAGGAAATGTCTTGTTGTGCTTGTTATTTGTTGTTGACTACAGGCAACACATTTTTCATGATCCACAGCTGTTCTAATACCTCTGTTTACAACAACGGACTTTATTTTCCAACAGCAAACAGCAGTTTGTTGTCAGCAGCAAAACCAGAAGACTAACATTCAATGTGAAATTGAGAAATAAAAAGGAAAATGCATATAACACCAGAATCCAAGCTACATTTTCAGACAACTTGTTTTTTGCTTCGTCATCTTTACCGGTACGTGATACGCAACCTCGCTGTTGCTGTTATTGCCACTGATTTTTGAGCCTCTCAGATAAATTATTTTCTTTTTCTTTCTAGTAGTGCCTATCCCAGGAAAGAATGTGTGTGCAAACCTCTCTCCCAATTTATTTTCTTGCATACCAGAATTATTCCCTTCGGCATATCAGTTTATTTAGGTCAAGGAGAGACACTGCCAACTCAGCATAAAAGTTGGGAACCTGCTGAGTTTGACCTCACCTCAGTATTTCAGTCATCTTTTCCTTTCTTTAGGCCTTGGCACCCACATCTTCTACTTGACTCCCAACAGCATGCCTGAATGCAGTTGCTGTGCCACAGGGAATTTGAATTTGATAAATCAAGCATGCAGCATCAATGATGCAGCCTTAAAGCACAGACTTTGGATTTAGAAATAGTGTTATTGCCAAGACCATGTGTTCCAGCTAGACAGCTAATCAGATTGAAATGATTGCTATACCAGAAGCTCTACTTCTAATGAATTTTGGCTTAGAAAAGGGAAAAGAAAGGAATTATATATACTATTTTGGGGAACGCAGTAAATCTGTAATCTCAACTGTTGCTCCCAAACAATTCATAAAGGATGAAATCCGGACTGCAGTGCTTGATTTATATGGTCAGAGTGCTACTGGAGAGGTGCATGATAATCCTAGGGGTGGAATCCAGAGCAATCCTTATACTGAAGGGAGAGCAGGGATAGGAGCATTCATCACTGCCCAAGAGCAGCATTTTCCTGAACGATGAACTGGCAGAAGTACTCCACACAGAGCTGAGGGTGCCCCTCTACTTCCCCATCCTGGTCTGCAGTAAAATTGCTCATTCCACTCATGCCAAAAGATCACACTGGAGATAGGATTTTCTTTTCCTTTAAAAGCCCATTTGCTTAGAAGTATTTCCACCTGCAAGTGAAGCTTTTGACCAAAAATGTGCCTGCTTCAGAGCAGGAAGAAAAGCTTAAGCTGAGAATGTATTGGTGTTAGTTGTTTTTTGGGGGTTTTTTTTGGTAGCATAATTCATGAATGGTAAATGTCTGTAGGGATGCTTTTAACAAAAGACAGTACATTTTAACGAATTCTTTTCAAAGTGATGCTGACTGGCTATGATCTACAAGTTTATCTTTTGATGTAGGATGATGGCATGGTAAATATTCTGCAAAGTAGTACCTAAACTCTTACATACTGTAGATTTTTCTACAAAAAGTATGATAGAGTTCCCCTCTGCACACTAACCCCTACAGTAGGAGTACTTAACTAATTCTCAGGTCCTGTAAACATGGCTGCAAAAGTTCTGGAAAAATGCTGTAAAAAGCACTGTAGGAGTTAATGCTGTGAGTGACCTGTACTCTTTAGCCTGTATTCCTTCTTCAAAGCCCTGCACAAAATTCTAAGAAGGTCATTACAGCTCACAAGAAATCATATGGGACTGGTCTTTGTCCCACCTTTCTCCTGCCTCTCTCCTAGCCCTGCCTATGCCCCACCCATCTGTTGCATCTCTAGGAATTACTGCCATAACACCTCTCTGTACTACTCCTTAGTGTGGTATGTGTCCTATTGAAGATACAGACTGGGAACTTGCTCTCTGCTTTATCAAAACTTGACTTTTCTGTCTGTTTCCTCTGCAGAGTGATGGGACTGAAGTCTCGTGTCAGACGGGAACGGCACAAAGTACAGTCATTTGCCAAATAAGCTATCCTGTTTTCAGAACAGGACAACAGGTACAGCTAGCATGTTTAAAAAACCTTGAATGACACCCAAAAGCTTTTTTGTTGTTGTTTTTTCCTATATCTGCATTTACTGCTGGTGAGCATTTCTTCGATTTGGCAAAAGTTAACTTCCCTTTGGGTTTCAGAGGCATTAAAGGAAGCAAACTAAGGGGTAAAATCTTGTGAACCCTGCCACATTAAAGGAAAAAAGGCTATTGAAGCACATTTATCCCTACCCACGACTTTCAAATGCTATTGTAGCTTTGTAACTCTTGGACGATGAGGGCTGGGGGCAGAAGCTGAGAGCATCGTGCATAGCATCCTGGGAACTGAGCACCATTCCATAAAACCCCTCCTAATGTATGAACCTGGGGTAGCTCCCTCTCCTGCTCTGTGAATCTCCACAAAACCAGCATTGCTTTCGGAGGAGAGAGGTGGCCCACGCAGCCCTCGGATAGATCATATATCCTTGTTCTCATATATACGATAAATCTCAGAATACCCATGGTTTTATGGAACTTAATCTCTTATTCCTCTACGGCAGAACAGAAATAGGCTTCCAGCCTCTAACACAATCAACTGGAGCAATAAGAAACTTGCTAGAAAGAATAGAAACATGACATTCTGCAGCAGGGGGAGCAAAATCAAAAGAACTATTTACATATAAAAAGTTAAGTTTGTTCTGAATTTTTAATGATATTGGTCAAAGCAGACCTGTTGGAACAAATGGAAGAAAAGAGTGAATACAAAGCTTGTGTTAGTGCTACTGTTTAAAAGCATGTCATTTAAGTAATCCTGAACACCTTTTATTGCAGCTTGTAGCTAGTTATATGCAGTATAAAATGCAGATAGCTCATGTTTATGTCACATTGCCCATTTGTTGGGGAAAGTGGGAACAAAGCAATTCTGGAGTATTAGAAATTACTGAAATATTATGCAGAAATTGGTGGAGAATTCAGATACAGAGGGCAATTCTAGGCTGTTGCACATATGAGTAATTGTGTTTCTATTGGAAAGTCCTTTGGATGTTGTACCATCAACTCATCTATTGTGTGTTCCTTGTCTCTTCCATAGGTATCCTTTGATATTAGTTTTGATTTTAACCTGAAAAATCTTCAGAATGTGGCAGTTCTAAGTTTTCAGGCATTGAGGTAAAGTATGTGATCACATGAAAGCAAGTTAGGTACTAATACCTTATTTGTATAAAATAGTATTCTAACACCTGACTTAAATCTGTTTTGATGAACAGTGAAAGTAAGGAAGAGCAAGAGTTGGACAACCAGGTCAGCTTATCAATTCCTTTGCGATATGATGCAGAAATTCACTTCACAAGGTATGCTGAATAATATAAGAGTCACTGTCAGTTTGCCAAGGCTTTGGAATATAGTAACAGTCCTGAAAGGTCACTGAAAAAGATACTGAAACTTTGTTTTAATTTTGGAAGTCATAAGAAATTCCCACTTCATCAACAGTAGCAGAATTTTATGTTCTTCCAATAATCTTACATTTCAAAAAATACGGAATGTGTAGTAAGAAATCGTGGATCCATGTTTACCTCTGCACAATTGTTACAGATGCTCCCATGAATAGCAGTGGTATAAAAACCAAATGGTGGTTTTGATAATATAATTAGTATACACTATATAATGAAGTTGGGCCTCTGGGCTCAAATGTAGTGGCATTTGAAGCTAAAGTGATCAAAACTAAACAAAACAGCAACAACAAAAGAAAAAAATGTCCCAGCTCAAACTCTAAGCAAAGGGTAGGGGGGAAAAAAGAAAAAAATAATTATGGACATATCAGCTGAACCTGGACCAAAAATAAAAACACTTGTTAGCAGTTTGAGATAATAATTTGAACTAAAACCTGAGGTGGCACGTGGCAGATTCCCCCTTGCTGCAGCTGCGCTGGCATCGAAGCAGCACACTCTGCTTTCCCACATGCCTGCCCTCTGGCTCACACCTACCCCTTCCTTCCCTCCTGGTGTCAGCCCTTTCCCCTCCCCACAGAAGGCAGCTTGGGGCTGTTGCAGGAGGGATCCTTTACCCTGGGAAGGGCAGTTTGTAAGGAGAGACAGACAAAAATACCTTTAAGACTGATGTTCATATCATGCCCTTGAAACCTCTTATCTTCAGCCCTGGAAACCCCTGGTGATTTGGGATGCACTGAAACAGTAATTAGTTTGTCACTGTTCCAGACGAGGATAATTTCAGTTATAGTTTAACTTAAATTAGAACTGAAACAAAAATGCACTAGTTTGACTCTTGAATCATAGAATCGTTTTGGTTGGAAAAGACCTTTAAATCATCAAGTCCAACCATTAAAAAAGTGGATCAAGATAGGATATTTTACTTTTCATCAAAGAAAAGATTTATTTTTTTTCATCTTTCCCAATTACTGAGTTTCTAGCATAAACTACATGTAGTTATATTTGATGTCCTTGGTCACCAATTCTTGGTGAAAAAATGCTTTTGCATCCCAAGACATTGAAAAATTTGTAAACATAAACTGATAGAAAATAAATAGTAATTATTCAAAGAATGACAGAAATTTGAAAAAGAGGAACTGCTTAAAAATGCACAGCAAGAATGAATTCAGGAAATGAATACTCAAAGACCGCCATAACTACAGGAACTGTTGGCTGCGTAGGATGACCTGAGCTGGAGTTAGGGACTGCAGTACAGAAGCCGAGTTTAATAACCTGCTTTGCAGCAGCAGCTTCAGAATATTCAGAGGCCCTGCATTCACACAGCTAAGTGCACTAATTCTGGAGTCATGCAGAATTTCTCAGATTATTTTAATTGCAGAGAAGCATTTGAGTCAGCGATGCAAGTTCTTTCAGCTCCCTGAGAAAGTCACGTGAGACTTCAGCAGAAGCAGACTGTTACTAAAGTTAGCAGCAGCACAGAGGCTACAGAGGCATCTGACTAGGTGACTAGCACAGCAACTTCAGCAGCCTCCTAGGAAATTCAGATGGTGCAAACTTGAATCAGCAAATTTAATTAGCTGAGAAATATGAACAGAAACTCCATGCTTCAGAAAGCATGGATTCTATAGAAGAGTTAATCAAGGAAAAACAGGGGTTTGAATTCAGGTGCTTCTCCTGAGTATGAGAAAATGCGATTTCATATGCAAGTCAAGGCATGAAGGAATTCCTACTGCCAGAAAAGGGTTAGTTATTCTTGGAGATGAATCAACTTAAAAGGACTAAAGGAAGAACACATTACGCCAAGGTGCAATTTTAAATGCTTCCCATAGAGTTAGCTGATTGTTAATTTCTTCCACTTAGGAAATATCTATCTGGAGATAGTTCCTTCTTGAGGCAGGTAATATAGCCGAGGAGCAACCTCTTAAAAAGTGTTGAGAAAAGTGTATTGTCTTGCTGAAATGAAGCCTTTCTAGGGCAAATCTCCTAATATGAGTTTCCAGGAGAAGAGGTGAGAATCAGTCTTTCAGTGACTCCCGCAAGGACGAGGGAGCTGATACTGCGCATCCTGGAAGGACTGGAGATTTGAGCAATAAGGAAGCAGAAAATGCATCACACGGGTTTTCCTAGGAGTTCTTGTGAGGAGGTCCTTCAAGAAAAGGGCCCATGGGAGGAAGTGTGGAGGATTGAAAAGGATCCATGATGCAGTATGGAGGAGCACAACTGATGAGGAAGTACCTCTGTGAGACTGCATACATGTTAATTTGGCATTGTACGTGCAGATGTTATCCAGATTAAACAGGGAGAGTGGCACTGGTAAAGAGGATGGATTTTCACCTTGTGCTACAAGAACAACTGATCATGATAGCCCCTGCATCTTGTTAACTCAATCCCCAGCTTGCTTTTTGATTGCTTAAATTAGCCTCCTAATGAAAGCTAATGATGAAAAGCAGAAACTGTTCTGGGATGGTTCAGCACAGGAGCTGCTTGCAGGTAGCACATGGATGCGATGCACTACACAGGGATGCTTTCATCGTCTTTGAGCATGTTTCCAGCTGGCTGAGCCCCTCTAGCATCCATGGGCCCTCACGCAACGTCCTTCCATCACATACCTGTAATTTCCTGCTGTGGTGGGCTGCAACCACCCTCATATTACTTTGGAAATTTTGAATTTTGAAACCCATAAATACTAAAGAAAGTGGCCCAGAGGAGACTGAGGTCTACGCGATATGTACCATGCAAATAAGCAGGGTGCTGTGTGTTTCCACACCCAGGCCACGTGGAAATAGGTCTGCCTGTGGTCTATCGCATTAGGGCCCAGGATCTCCCTCAGACTGTTGGTATTTGCTGTTATAGATGTACCAAGGGGGACCATTAGGGGGGTCCTTTCTGAGGAGGGGCACAACTGCAAGGCTGAAAGTCACAGTTTCTGCCTGGGAGAGAGCTTGCAGTATGGCACTGAAACACCATGGGGTGCAGGAGACTGAGTGGAGCCTCCATCACATGCAACCCTCCTGTCTCACCTTCACATGCTCACTTCTGCTCCAGGCTTCAATACACCGTGTGTTTTCTTAACCAACTTTGTAAAATTCAAACAAACAGCAGTACAAGTGAATGGTTTTTCCTCTGACTGTACTTCTGACCTGTTTCACGAAGGCACATCCAGTAACATATGTTTTCAAAGCAGCTGCCAAATTGAAATGTATTGTTTTATGGTTGTTAACTAGGCTTGCCAACATCAACTTCTATGAAGTATACTCTGGTCGTAACATTCCTTCCACTGTGAATAATTTTGAAGATATTGGCCCCACGTTCAACTTCTCAGTTAAGGTTAGTAAATGGTTCTGGTTCTGGTTCGAGAAGCTGCCTCCTGTAGCCTGGTCCCAAAGTGTAGTTGAAAAAATATTCCTGATTTCACTGTCTGATTTTGATGCTTTTCAATCAGTCAAGTAAGAAAAAAATTACAAATAACTGGGGCATAAATACTTACAGTCTTTATGAGGTTAAGGATGAAATTTGCACTTACTGCACAAGTAGAGTGGGGGAGGGATTGGCCCTGCACTGTTTACATATTTAGAAGATGGTTAATGCTTAACTTTAGGCCAATTTAGACTTTTTTTCACAGAGCATATTTGTCTTCTGCTGACTTGATAAAGGAAAACAAGTCTTTGCATACTTGGACTTTGAAACGAAGTTTGGCAAGGGTTAAGTGCTCAAACCAGATGCAAGAACTAGCCAGATCACAACATTTATTATATAACTGAGAAAAACTTAGATCCAAATATGCAATGTGGAAGAAACTTAAATTATGTCCCATTTACATTCCTGTAACTGCTACTCTAAAGGACCAAATAACAGGCCTATTGGCTGTGGCAGAATATTTGCTTTTCAAAATGTATTTCATGCAGTTAATAAGAGCTTTGCTAAGGAAACAGACAGAGACCTGAAGCTATACAGTACACTTCCTGCTTTACTATTGGTATAATGTAATTACTACCCTAGTAAGTGTGTTAGTACAAAAAAAAATTGATACAAAAGGAGTCCAGTCCTTCCATACTTATCCACAGTTTCTGATTTTCTTGCTATATCAAGTAATTTATGTATATGTAAGTATAGCTACCTGAATTAATTGCAAGTTACTTGTTTTGCAGGTAACAACAGGAAGTATTCCAGTAAAGATGGTATCTGTAAAAATCTATCTTCCAGAATTGACCAGCAAAGAAAACCCACTGATGTACATAACTGCAGTCACCACAGATCAGGTGAATAACTGAATTACATGAACATGCTGTGTTTTGGGCTTTAATCAGTATCATAAACATGTTTTTTCCCTCACAGTATGGCTGAGATTTGGAGAATCTATGCCATTTCTCCTTGTCCCTTCCTCATAAAGGGAAGGGGGAGGACCATGATATCAGCAGTACACTAGTCTATTATTTGGCAGATGTGGATTATCTCTACAGTCCATGGCTGAGTTTTCATATGACTCTGGAACTCTAGTCCGAGTTCCTGGGAAGGTTATAGTGAAAATGGAATTTTTAGATGGGGACAAACCCTTCAGGTCAATCTAGGGGGAAAAAAATTTACTGTAAGAGCTGTTTAGTTCTGACCAAACCCAGATACAGTTCTTTTAGTTTCCTAAAGTATCCAGTGTTATATAATTCACAATCTAGCCTTTCACAGCCACTATCTCATCCCAGAAATATATATTATTATGTTGACTATAAACTCCGGAGTATGATGTCATCCAATTTCATTCCTGCCATCTTTCCCAGGCCAGAGGTGTTACTTGTCAAGCTCAGATAAATCCACTGCAAATAGGGAAAAGACCTTACTCTGCATCTTTCACAAAAGAGAACGTCAGAGCTTCCAAAGAACTGGTGAGTAAGACTCAGGGCTGCAGTACTGCAGGACAGGGGTGCAGAACTGACCCTTACAAGTCTACTGCTGTACCTATAAGGACAGCTGTGGTGGGGGTGGCATTCTTCATTCTCATTGCAGGAGTGCAGCCTATGGATGTTGTCACACATGCTGCCTTAGATAGAAGAAAAGGTGCATGTTCTTCATAGCCTGCAAGCACTTAATTTGTATGCACAAAATGGCAAAGGCAAGGGCAAAAAATCTGGATGTTAAAAAGAGCATTTTTTAAAGTGTATCTTTAATGTACACCGTTGGTTCTTGCTGTTTCCCCTGGAAGAACTGTAAGAATGTGAAGTGCAGCACCATCGCATGCAAACTGGAAGACATTATGCTGAAGGGAGAGTACTTTGTGAATGTGTCCACCCGAATCTGGAATGGAACCTTTGCTGCCGTGAGTATCAGCTTCATCTTCATGAAGGATCCAATACTCAGATATTTCCTAACTCCTGATATTTTTCAAAGTTCAGTAAAGAAGTCTTCCAATCTAGAGCGAGCTTCCTTTATGTTTTTGTGTCTGTTTTTCAAGATTGAAAACTTGAATATAAAGGTAGTGAGGCTGCATAATGGAGTTGATAACCTTCAGTCCAGCACAAAACCTAAGAAAATGCTGTGATAATGCAATCTTCACAGCTGAAAAAAACATTTTCTGCATCTGTTAAATTCATTCAAGGGGAACTACAGATTCCACAAAACTCAACATAGGACAGTAGAGTATAGTATCATCATAGCCTGGAAAATAATGTTGCTTTTAGCTTTTGAACATTACAGGCTACATAGTGATCATTTAAAGTCACATCAAAATATCAAAAGCCTGTTAGTGCTGCCAGTTACATTTGTTAGAAGAGGTGTGGATTTTTTTTTAATTGATTTTTTTTGTTTTTATTAGCGTTGGTGTCAAGGAAACAGTTCTTGCTTAAAGACCTACAGGATACTTAAAAATATTCATCAATAATATCTTGACTTAAATCACCATGTGTCCTCCAGGATATAACTCATCATGAGTTACCAGACTTTTGAAATGAGACCATGTTTGCTGCTTAGCTAGGCAACCAGCCAAACTGTCTTGGAGTCCTGGGTTTGCCTAGGGTGTCAGGAACATGACGCAGTCTCCTTAGTCTGTCTGGCAAGTCTTATGGCAGGTATTGACATTTAACAGCAAGGCTCTTGTCAGGTTTAGCATTCAGCTAAAAAGGAAAAGGTCAGGTTGATAATGTAATATACTTATGCAAGTGTGCGAACGAAAGCATCTGTCTGCCTTAAAAGTTTGTATTTTTCAAATCAGCTGAGTCAAGACCACTTGTTAGTGCTGTCAGGTACGCACAAGGTGGAGACCTGAACAAAACATTGCTACCTTCACAAGAAAGTGAGTGGAAATAATTTGTCTACCACTGGGAGATAGGAAGGAAAGCTTGCATGTCACAGTTTTCCTCTCATCTCCCATTTTGGTATTTTCTATCCCAGAGGTGCCGTAGGAAATGAGGGTCTCTATGCCCGCCAGGTGGGGAGAAGAGCAGAGGTGAGCTGGCAGTGTCTGCCCAGACATGCTCCTCTGCCTCTCAACACATGCGCAGAGGAAAGTGGGATCTGGCACAAGGTCCCTTTTCAAATAGGAATTGACTTAAGATTTGTGTCGTCGTCTTTCTTTAAGCTGGGGGAGTGATGTCGGAATTTGAGCAGCGGAGAGGAACAGAGAGTGATAGGAAAAAATAAATGGGGAAAACCAGAAGCATTGGATAGAGGTGAGGGGGGGGGAAAAGGGAAAGAACATTGAGTTTCCATTTCTTTCAAAGGCCAGAGATGTATCCCCATCTGTCATTTGTTGCTGAGCTATTTCTCCCTTTCTCACTGTTATTTTTCCCCATCTCTCCCCTGCTAGCAGCAGTGACAGCTTTGAAACAACTATAAAAATGGGTACATAATCAAATTCTTCTGTTTTGCTTGAACTCTATGCTCAAGAAAAAAAGCCAGTTCTCCAGTTTCATTACTAATAAGTAAGAACAGCAAAGTTAAATCTGGATTACTGATACATTATTACTTTCATAGACATTTTAGCTTGGGTCTAATAAAAAGATAATTTTTATTTTCTTAATACTGTGATTTATTTCTGCTTCTGAAATCTTGATTTCAAAGCAAGAGAATTATTTTAGGATGTCTAAATTCTAATCAATCTGTCATGAAATACAGTTTCACAGTTTTTTTAATCTTCTGTTTCAGTTAACTTTCCAGACGTTACAGCTCTCTGCAGAGGCAAAAATTGATACACATAACCCTGAGTTATTTATAATTGGAGAGAATACCCTAACTGTAAGTGATAAAGAAGTATATTTTTTCTACTTCTCTATTTTTTACTGTATTAAAGTGATAATATTTAATTTTCAGTGTCTGTAGGAGTATAGCAAATTAAAAACTCTGATGACACTTGGTCATGGTGAACTAATGTGTCCTTTTGGCTATATGCAACCTCCCTGAAGTTACTAAAATGTTTTCATTTCAGCCAACTGCTATATAAACCAGACTTAGTTAAAACCTGTAGATCGCAAATAGATTGTAGAACTATCAGCAAAACTCAGTTACAAACTTCTGAAATTCATTTAGCTTCCTGTTCATGAAAAGATCAAAATTGGGACTTCTTTCTGCAACAGAATTAATTGTTGTAGATAAGTGAGCTCTGGGAAACATTTTTGCAAATCTGACTTTTAGTCTTCTATAAGTGTTTTGTTTTATCTTTGTTTTATCTTTTATATTTTGACTTATCTTTGTAGACAGATGTTTGACACAGGTCTCTAGAAAGTATACTTAGTCTCATTTATGAAGTATTTTTTTCCATTTGGAATGGCTGTCATATGGACAATATGGACACAGCTAATCTCAAAAAAGTCTCCAAACCACTGCTTTATTAATGTAGAGTCCTTCTCCCAAGGTTTACATCTGCTATATACAAACATAAACAAGACTTGAAGAATACATTAGCACTGTGGTGCTGTTTTAATAAAAAGATACCTTGTCCTCTTGGCCTGTCGAGGGAGGAATACTCTTCCATTTGCAGTACTAAGTTCAGATTTATTTCTACAAGATTTACCAGCCTGTTTTATCCATAAAAATAACCAAGGCCACTGAAGACCAAAATGCAAGTTAGAAAGGGAGTCAAGTATCTGTGAGAATGAGTAGCATAGCTCATTCACAGGCAATGGAAAATTCAGTTAAATATGTATGAAGGCAGTTATTCATTATCTATCTCAATGTGGAAATAAGACCATAATTCAGTACTATTTTTTGTTATTGTTGTCTCATGGATCACTCCATTTCTGGTGAAGAACCTCTAAACAGATCCATTTGTATTCAGGGAAACCCCAGTGCCTGAAGAAGCAGAAACAGTTCTGGAAATAATGCCAAATTTTTGCAGAAAGATTATATGCCTGTATTTGAAGTGTGCTGAATGCCTCAGCTGTGTGGCACAGTATTATTTCTGCTAGGAGACAAAACTCATTAATACACAATGCAAATATTCCAATTAACTGCACAGGCACCTGTATTACTAGGTATTTTTCTACAGTTGGAGCATGATTATTTCCAAATTTACAGTACCAGCAGTTCTCTGGTGGTTTCAGGAGAACCAGAATTTAATTATTCAAAAGACTGTTGATTAAGTCAGTTGACAAATAAAAGGTAGTTCCTCAGCCAGCCATTGAAACCTCTGCAGCTGGGACTTCTACAGCTTGGAGGCAGTGGCTGAACAGACCTGAAGACCACAGGGCTCTTAAGAAACACAGTGGGTTTTGGTGAGGCTTACAGCCTGATCCTTACTTGATAGCCCCTTGCCCTGTGAGAAGTCTTGGAAAATGTGTCAGCTGGTGGAGGTATACTGTCCCTAGGGCAGAGTTTCCTTTGACACTTCAGTGATGGACTTAGTACCCAGCCATGCATATACTTCTTGGCAGGCCAGCAGAGATACCCAGTCTGCCTTTCACTTCCTTGGGAACAGGACAGTGCAGAAGCAATCTGAGTTTATTTCCCTACTTATTCTGTTATTTTAGATGAGGGTGGTAGGATTCATCCAACTTAATATCTACATTAGTCATCCACATCAGAGGTAGCCCTTCTATAAACCCTCATCAGTAGAAAGAATAGGTATTTCTGAAATGCAATTAATCTCATCTTAAAGATAATCCTGAAAATAAGTAGGGTGATTTAGGTCCTAAAAGAGCCTATCCTTCTCCATGGGAAGCCAAGGAACTATATTGTAGATACAACACTAGATGAGGTGAATCCCAGGCGTGTTGTCTTACTGAGCACTGTTTGACTTCAGGGGAGATACTTGTTCTTAGGCATTGATTTACCTCTCCAACAGTGGCACATTGTTGTTAGTCTAATGGAGAAAGCATTACTAGGCAAACTGCACGCATATATCAGATTGGCTCTTTAGTTTGGATGAGCTGGGTTGCTGTGTAGCCAAATGAATTAATATTGCCTTGTGATGCTATGTGGGGAAGCTGCTTAGGTATCTTTGCGTAAAAGCTTTCAGATTTTTTCCAAGTTGGAAAGGACTGCCAGCTGGAGGACAGAAAGTTAACCTGCTATAATCATCATTATGACCATTTGGTTAGAAAATACACAAAACCAGCCTGCCTCAGTGAAATGAATACACATAGCCACACCTAGGACAACACTGGAGCCTTCCAGCAGAAATTACTTAAATCACTGAGATGTCAGTCCAATGCAAGTTTCCCAGAAAGCTTAAGATTAAATTACACCAGACAAATGCACTAAGAAGGTAAACCAACGTTGACTTCTTTTATCATGTTTCAGGAAGGAAAAAACCTTCATGCTAAATGCATGTTGTTCCACGATTAAATCCAAAGATTTGACAGTTCATAAATATAACAGCAACGTCTCCCTGCGTAACTATGTTATACGTAACTATATATTTGGTCATACCAAATCCAACTAGATAGGGTATCACCTGAAAACTAACTTCCAGACACAGTATGCTGTTCTGGGAGCTCTCTGTTATTGCTTGTAGTTCAGGATGCCTAAGTGTGCTAGAAACACTCCTGTTTGACCCATCCATCTTACAGCAAATTCATGCAGTTGACTCAGGAGAACACAGATTAACATGAGAAGATCTAAGAAGTTGCTAGTGGTTTCCCAGAAGGTAGGAACAGCAGAAAAAGGAGACAGAGGTACCTGCCCAGCAGGAGGGGAGGAATTTCAGCACACAATGTGTATGATGTTTTCTGGCCTCCATGATTAGTATTGCCTCCTACAGCTGCCCACCACAGATAACAGGCTCTGACAATGCTCTGTTGAAAGAAGTTATTCTCCAGCTGATGCAGCAGAAGTCTGTTTTGAGCAGACGGGGCTCTGCACAAGGCTATTCCCTGCCTGCATGTAAGCCTATCTGGTTACCTAGTGATGGTGTGTCTATGCACTATGGGAACAGCTCTGAAAGACCTCCTGTTACTGGAGAGGCAGAAAAGATTGCTTCTCTGCCTGTTGTGTATGGCCAAGAGTGGCGAGGGCCCCTAATCCTTAACTGGCGCTGCCATGTGCCATGGTGGTGCAACCAGGTACCTGTGGACAGCAGTGAAAGGGCTGTAATTGCCTGCTGTGTTCCAGTCATTGATCCTGGAATGTGTGCAGTCCAGCTATTCTTGATTAGTGAAGTATTTGGTTTACAAATCCTACTTTATATGCAGTTAACATTAACCCCTAACTCACAACCTCTCTGCTTTCAGATCCCAGTTACAATAATAAAGCCGGATGAGAAAGGTGAGATACCAGTTGGTGTTGTGATTGGCAGTGTATTGGCTGGACTCATCTTGCTGTTAGTATTGGTTGCCGTTTTGTGGAAAGTAAGTAGGCGTTTATATTCTTAGAAAGAAAAGTATAAAGAGATAAATACATTTGGGCTATTTTCTTTGGAATCTCTCTTGCACGTGCTGTTTCGTGATATGAGTACTACCGCATTGGCATTGCGCCCTTGATGGGAGTGTTTAGAAGGGCTTTAAACATCAAAATTCTAAAATGGGTCCCCATAGATATTGGCTACGTGAAGATGATAAATGAGTTTCCAGTGGTTCAAAACAGGGGCTGTGGCATTTACATTTTTCCTTTGACACTGCCTGCCTCCTTCCCTAACTCTGCAGCTGGGCTCTGAACTCCCATGATATTCAAGTGGGCAAGGCTGGGGATTAGAAGCAAGGAGGGAGAGGATATGCACTGAACAGACAAAAAGAGAACAGAGAAGGGTGAGGGCAAAAAGCCATTTACAAAGGATACCTAGATTAAGGGGAGAGAAAAATTTTTCTGCTTACCAGGTGCTTGAAGGGCTCCTTGGCACACTACGGCAGCACAGGGATGCTTGTATCTCAGCAGGGACACAAGTGGCTAGTCAGCACTGCTGTTTTGACATTTAGTTGCACCAGGCAGGAGTTTAAGGCCCATATCCTTTCATTTTAGCATTAGAAATTGTCTGCAAATCAAACACTGTATGTGTGTACACGCACACATGTGCATTCCTACCATCACACTATTTAGCTTATCTGAGAAATTTAACTGTTGATGACTGACTGCGATGTGGTGTTATTTTAATACTTGTCTCAGCTTGGCTTCTTCAAGAGACAGTATGAGAAAATGAGACAGGATATGGAAGATGTCGATGAAATTACAGAACTCACAAAGGACAAAGACTGAAGAAGATGAGTTGCACGGATGAAGAGAGGAGATCTGAGCCACCAACAGTAGTGATCCAGTCGGTTCTTCAGCTGGAGTGCCTTAATGATTAGTAACATTTAAACATTTTTAATGAAAGTGTCTTTGTGTAGATGAAAATATTTTACAGATTCTACTCTATTGTAAGAGTAACTGCAGGACAGTTTGTTTTCTTCAAAAATTATTAATAGTGCCTTTTCTTGTAAATTTTTGCCTTTCAAACAAACTTAGCCCTTAGAACTGGCAGGTCCGGAGTTTACAGTAACATATTGTGCCAGCAACCCTTCTCCTGATCCGCTGCAGAGTGAAACAGAGCAATTTATTTCAGATTATTGCGGAACAGCATCAGTCCGTAATTCAGTTGACAAGTACCATATGTGTAAAGGACATTTTCTATTAAGTTGATGATGAATGTGTGGTGAATACTGCTTCCAGACTGGGAGAAGGAAACTAATTTTTTCATTGACTAAGCTCCATCCTTATTGTTTTAGAGAAATAATTTGCACCAGTAAACCTTTGTCTTAACTAATCTATAAAGTGGGAACTGTGTATCAGGATGTCTGTCTGGGTGCTACAGGACAACTGGATGAACAAACTGGTCTGAAAGTTCACCGTATTCCTTGCACTAAGGTCACAACTAAATTACTGAAGTACATTGTTTTGGGGAAATATTGCCAAATAGTATGTATAACTGCCTTCTGCATACTTTCTCTCTGAGAAGAAAATATGAATTTCATAATCACTTACAACATGTTCTCTGCAATGTTGTGATTGGTTTTCATATTTCGTCTCGAGAAGCACTACCACTACTGTTACACTGTGCTTTATGCTCGCAGTCCCTCTGACACCAGTTTGGCTTTTCACATCAATAGGGAAGACAGTCAAGATCTTGCCTTTTAATTCAGTATTGAAACATTTTGCCTGACAAAGAGCATGAAGTGAACTAAAGGGGATGATGACTGAGAAGTATGCACGTTAGGACAGAGGATAGTGAAGATCTAAGCTCTGTAAGTTGTTTACTACACTTGTTTCTTTAGCATCTCAGTGCCTTCCAGGAGACCAAAGTTCAGTATGACCTCCTTACCTGTCACATTTTATTTTGTCCCACATGTTCATGCCTTGATGAAGTTAACTTATATTTTATACAGAAAAGTACTGTAGTGCTCTGGAAGGAGCTCTGAGAACAACACTTGGGTTGACTTTGTGTTGGTTACACACCTCAAGTTTATCACATGCCGTTACGCTGCCTGGTTTTAACGAAAGCTCAGTCTTAAAAAGGCCCATGCTGTAAGACTGGTAACAGTCAGGGGAACTGGCCTTTTGGCTGCCTTTCTCTCTCATGGCTGGGAGTTATGCTTATAATCAGTTGTGAGAGAAGATGTGTGTGTTGTCCTCATGTACACTGCCATGCAAGTGAGATAGATTGTTTTCAACTCGAGGTGATTTACTTGGAGAGTGAAATATTTAAATGTGCCTGACTGAGAACCCAAAGTCATGTTTTCTTTCCCCCAAAACTAGATTGTAATTATGCTTAAGCACCTTTCAGATTATTTTCTGAGGGACTCTTCAAAAACTAGACTTGAGCACATTTGAAAGTTTTACTCAGTCTTTTTTAATCAGTAATCAGTCAGGAGCCAACCATCTCTTTGGCAAATAACAGCTTCATTTGCAGTGACAGCTGGATTGTGCTCAGTGTAGTTTTATGTGTTAGATTTATTTTGTATCTATGAAATGTTCTGTTTTGGGGTGGGTTTTTTTAACATTCTGAAAAACAATCCAGATTCTGATCTCAATTGTCAGACAAAATTGTTGCCATCAGCTGAGTTTGTGACCAAAACAATTATTTAAAAAGTGAAAGAAAAAAAAGTAGTAATTGCATAAAGCTAAAGAATAAGCTCCTGACTTGTAATTATAAACCCTGAGGGCAAATGCTCTGAAAGTAAGTATATAAATTTGTCTGCCTCAATTCTTGTATAAACTTGTGAGGAAGAAAACAAAACCCTACACCCATATGTGTGGGAAGCTCCTGCATAACCAGGGTCATGCACTCCAGGCCAGACGGGGAATTTCACAATGCAGTAGACGGCAACATCTTTCATTTTTGGTGCTGCTTGCAAGGGAAATTTAGGCATTCAGCCAGATTTCCTTCTTTCACCTTCGGTGGGAGATACAGGTCAGTATCTAACATGCAACTTCTTTGGGGATTTAACAGTTTATTGATGAGGTAGCAATGATTCAATTCACTAGTCTTCACTGGGTTTTATTTTGTCCCAGACAACAGGATTTCCCCCCCTGGCCTGGACATAACTTTTTCCCAAAATAAAGGGAAGGCATAACAATGGGGAAGGTTTTTGTATCCTAACCACTTAAAGTTGCTAGTTTATTTTTCTTTTATAATTAATACTTTAATGGCTAATTAAGTTTTTATAATGAGTGAGTTTATTGCACTTTTAAGTTGGCACAGCTGCAAATAATGCTGGAAATATTATGTATATTTTGTATTATGTGCAAGGAGCTGTGTTCTGGATTTTGTTTTAGTTTTAGTTTTTTAAAACAGCACGTTACAGGTGAAATAATATTCTGAAATATTGAGCTTCAGCATGTGCTTCTGTTTGTGCTTGCAGCAAGAGAAGTCAGGACTACCTTCAGCAAACTCACGTTACATCTGATTCTGGTCTTGAAATCTAGCTGCTAACTTCATGAAGTACTAGAATTAAGTCCAAAGTCAGAGTTAGTTCCATATGAGCCTGTGCATAGATTTGGGATGTACAAGAGAGTTTATAATCAAATTGACTTCTGAAAGCTAGCATGTAAGCTCTGTGGGAGCAGGGACTGTATCACTGTGGTGCCTACCTGAGGGCCAGCAGCGTTACTACAATAAAAACAAGAATACTGCTGAACACAGACTCATTTATTTTTTTAAACAGCACCCTAAACCAAAGAAACACTACTGAAAAAGGACTACATAAAAGGGGGCCAAAAATATCTTTGTTCCAGTAGCACACAGTGAAAACCCTGAGGAGATGACTGCTAGGTATACAAAGAAGCCTTGTAGGTTATAGTCACATGTGTAACACTACCGGTAAGTCAGTTCTCATTAGCGCGTAATATCTATATTTGAATAGCTGTGGTTGAACAGTTGGTGTTAAAACCTGACCATGGTCAGGCCTTCCTATAAACATGGGCTTATCACTGGCATCTAAAATTATGCTGTATTCTGCCAGTCTCATGTCCTGCAGTCAGACATACAGAATTGGTCAGTGGTAGCATCTCCTGACACCTGCTCTGGCTACTCCCCACCATACACTGGAAAAG